AAACACAAAAGAGTATATTCTCTATGATTGTCATTTATATAAAATTCTAGAACACAGGCAACACTCATTTATCTTATCAGAAAGCAGATCAGCAGTTGACTGGGGCTGAGAAAGAGAGTAATTTACTGCAAAGGGGCATGAGGCTACTTTCTGCAGTGATGGAAATTTTGACTACATGGGTGTATATATTTATCAAAATTCATTGAACTGTGCACTTAAAGTGGGTGCATATTATTACATGTAAATTATAATTCAACAAAGATGATGTTTCTCATAAAAGAAAAAAAATCTATAATAATAAAAGGGTAATATGCTAATTAGACTGGAAGTCTTCTGGACGTCATTCTGGACGTCCTTCCTGACAAAGCCAGGGCCGGAGGAAAGCCAGCTCAGGTCCCGGGAGCCTGTGGGCAGCCTGAGGAGGGAAGCCCGGGTCCCGGGTGCCAGAGGGAAGCCAGTGCCGGCAGCCGGGGGAAGGAAGGCCTACTATTGCTCACAGGCATGTAAGGCACAATTTATGCATGAATTTCGTGCATTGGGCCTCTAGTTAAAAATAAAAACACCTGGGCCCCATCATAGCAGGACTCATATGGGGCCCATAATCTGCATTTTAAACAAGCCCCATGGATAATTATGTTGCAGGTTGTTTCATTTATAGAAATAGTATTGGTTTCTAAGTACCCAACTCTTGGACAACAAATCAACCATGCAAGCAAAGAAAATTCAGAAGAAAAGTAAGTTTTTGTGTGCCCTCCTTCCATCCCTCAACTTTTACTCTAGCTGGAATACTGATCACTACCAAAGTATCCTACTGGGTGCTCTGTTCTCCCAACTGCTGGCTCAGCTGTGGATAAGCTTTCTTCACTCATTCTTTACAAAAGGAAGTTTGCTATGAAATTAAGTGGGAGAAAATAAAAATAAAAACACATTACAAGATGGAGGAGCATGTTGGGTTGGGGGGGCGGGGGTAGCCTAGGTCTGTGGTAGCTCCACTGGCTGGTGCTCTTTTACCAGGGAAAACTGTGCTCCATGGCAGGCAATTTTCAACAGAGCTCCCATCATTTGCAATGGATTTTTGACGAACAAGATCTGTTGATGGAATGCCAGAAGGACTTAATGTTTCTCTCAGAAGAAGAATACTGGAAATTACAAATATTTTTACAAATGTTTTACAAGCATTAGGTGAACATTTTAAATTAAGACAACAAGTTATTGCCACTGCTACAGTCTATTTCAAGATATTCTATGCCAGGTATTCTCTGAAAAGTATAGATCCTATATTAATGGCTCCTACATGTATGTTTTTGGCATCCAAAGTAGAGGAATTTGGAGTTGTCTCAAATATAAGACTGATTTCTGCTGCTACTTCTGTATTAAAAACTAGATTTTCATATGCCTTTCCAAATTTTCTTTTTTAAATTGTTTTATTACTTAAAGTATTACAAAGAGTATTATATATGTCTCCTTTTTTCCCCTTGACCTTCCCCTAGCCTCCCATACCCACCAGTGTCTTGTGTCCATTGGTTATGCTTATATGCATGCATACAAGTCCTCAAAGGAATTTTCTTATAGGATGAACCATATATTAGAATTTGAATTCTATATTTTAGAACTAATGGATTTTTGCTTGATAGTGTAACACCTTATAGACCTTTGCTCCAGTATGTGCAGGGTATAGGTCAAGAAGACATGTTGCTTCCCTTTGCATGGAGGATAGTGAATGATACCTACAGAATGGATTTTACCTACTGTATCTCCTTTCATGATAGCTTTAGCTTGTCTACATGTAGCCTGTGTTGTACAGCAGGAAGATACCAGATAGTAGTTTTCTGAGCTTTCTGTGGATATAGAGAAAATTTTAGAAATAATCAAGGTTATTTTAAAACTATATGAATTGTGAAAGAATTTTGATGAGAGAAAAGAGATGGCAACTATTCTTAGCAAGATGCCAAAACCCAAACCTCATCCGAACAGTGAAGGATAGCAGAATCCAAATGGAAGTCAGAATTCTAGCTACAGCCAATCTTAAAACATTCCTAAGAATTCCGAAGTGGACCCGTTGGAAATAAACCATTGGACAGATTTCAGTAATGTCTTCAATGGAACACAAGTAAATATGAATAGCTTGTTTCTATCAAGCATATTGGGAAGTGGCTTTATTTTTGCAAAATAAGTTTTTCATTATCTAATTTGATTCTAGTATATAAGTGACTAAAGGCACTTGATCATAAAAGTTTGGAAAGGTTCTAAGGGCACCTACAGACAGACATTTCAAAATTAATAGCTTTTGCCTAGTATAGTTTTTTCTTAATCTGGATAACAGTAATTGTAGTCTTTTATTAAGCCAGGAAACATGAAGCATAACTTGTTTAAAATTCTCTTTGGTCATTGAAGAACCAAAAAAAGGACGTAAAAAAGTGAAATATATGACGGTGCCTCCCCCTCCTTAAGTTAAATTTTAAAATGTATTTAAGAAATCAAATTCTACAAAATCTTGGAAGATTTTGGCAATGATGTTGATAATTTCAGGGTAATTAATCAAGTACCTATTGATTTTAAAGTATATTTTATTCAGTAGTTTTAGTATCTTGACATGGAAGATACTAGCCCAGCCTAGCAGAAAAGTGTAATCTGTATAGCATACTTTGACGTTTTTAAATTTTAAAAAGTTATATTAATTCTGTAACCATTTGAAATGCTGAGCAAACTTTAAAAAATCCTATGTGAAGTTATTTGCATTTGATTCACAGTTAAATCAGGCATTTAGAAAGATAATTGGATAAAACATAATATGGTTGAAATTTGGTAACATTTTAATGTTAATTTATACTCTACTGTGAAAAGGTTTTATATGACATACACACTCTAGTTTATTTTTATGCCTTAATGTGGATCCTGAGCCAGAAACACAATCAGGTTTCAGACCAGTTTGATACTGGCTATTCTTAATTCTTACATGAGCCTAGGACTTAAGACTAAATGTTATGTCAGTGGGACTGTGCTGTCTGTGGAACTTAATAAATTAATAATTTTCTTCAGACTTGAAGAAAGAATGATAAATAAAATTTAGAGTCATAGGATACTGATGTACAATTTAAGGATTAAAATTTTTATAAATCAATTGTGAACAATGAATTATGAAATTAAACATTGATTTCCTAGTATAAAACTACAAAAATAAAAGTATATTCTCTAGCTAAAAAAAAAAACAACCAAACACATAACAAGTGAAGAGAAACCAATATATTTTCAGAACACAGATCCCTTCCCATAAGGTCATTCAAGATGGGCTTGGCTGGCCAGGTCACTAGACACATGTTATCTATGGATATACCTACCCTGGGGAACAGCAGATAGCCAGGGAGCCTGACGGATACCTGTGTGGAGACAGAACAGTACTACAGTAGATATGCTAAGAGCACTCTTAGCCCAGAGGAAAGGGTCATTTCCCTGCCACATTAAACCTGGGTGCTCAGTTTCCATTCCTTAGCCTGTTCCTGCTGTCTGACATATCTCCAGGCCCCTATTCAGTCTATCCTTCTCAATTTCCATGGCCCAGCTTGAATAACACCTTCTCCTTATCAGGCCCCCATGGTCAAGCTCTCCTTCCCTGGAACTTGGCCTCAGAACTCTTACAGAAATTTAGATTTGTATTTTAGTCATCATGTGCATACCATATCTACTCTACCAGACTGTAATCTTGTTGATTATAGAAACTATGACTTATTATCTATGCTAGATGTAGCCTGCCTACTTCCTAGTACATTACTTCGAACTTGGTGGGTGTGTTGTGTACATTTATTGTAGAAATTAATGAATGATTCAGTTTATGCTGATTCATATCTCTGAGCTTTTGCTCACACTGTTCCCCTCTTCTGGAAAATCCTTCCCACTTCAAGTGTTATTTCCTCCAATAAGCGTCCCTAGATCCCTAGGCTGTTGGGATCCTATAGCACTTTGAGCATCTTCCTATCTTATCACTTATAACCACCGTTGTATATTAAAATTAAATATTGATTACCAGTTTGACCTACTTTACCATAAGCTTCAAGAAGTAAAAAAATTCATCCTAGTCATCCTTATTTTAGCCCAGTGTTGGGTAGTAGCATGCACTTTATAAATGTTTTTCAAACATTTATATAATCCCTCCAGAAGTTTCTGGAAGCATTAGCCCATGACACAGAGGCTCCGGTTTGTTTACTTTGTGTTCCTATTAGAGTGGGCAAAACTGTCCTGAGCTCCAATTCCCAGAGAAAACCCAGCATAAACAACCTTGCCATTCTAAGTTTCCTTTTGGCTGAATGAAGGAGTAGGACTAGGTGTTCTCTAGGGCCTCTTATAATCCCTTGATCCTTGTGTTCCAGGAATTCCCCAGCAGAATAGGTTGTTGAATACAAATGAGGCAAGTGTGGCCTCTCTTCCGAAGGTCTTTAAGATGACCCCCTGCCTCTGGGATGGCTGGACATAGGGAAAAGAATTCGTGACTCTTCAGAGTACCCATGATTCCTCTTTTTAAATATCTCTCTCTCTCTCTCTCTCTCCTTTTGCCACCTTCCCTTTTCCTCATTCTCCCAGCCTCTCTCTTTCCCCCCTTTTTCCTTATCTGCCTCTCTTCTCCTACCCATTCCACTGCACTTTCCCGGCACCTCTACTTCTGCCTCTCCCGCTTTCCCTTTCTCTCCAGATTTACTTTATCCATCTCAGTTCTCCTTCATTTATCCTGCGTCTCTACCCACTCTCTCCCTTGCCTCCCTCCTCTGCTGTCAGCCCTGCAGGAAGCCAAGACTCCTCACGACGCCTGGAGGTGGGAGGGTGAGTGGGTGGGCCCGGTGCAGCGGTCCCGCCCCTCGGTGCGTGTGTGAATGTGTGGTAGTGACGCGGCACAGGCGGCGGGGAGGGCGGCTGGGACGGCGGAGAGGGAAGCGAGCGGATCGCTGCGCGCCCTCCCGCTCCCTGCCGCCTGCCGAGGCGAAGGCAGGGCGCAGGCGGCGGCGGGCGGCATGGAGAGCCTGCTGGAGAATCCGGTGCGTGCCGTGCTCTACCTTAAGGAGCTCACGGCCATCGTGCAGAACCAGCAGAGCCTCATCCACACCCAGCGCCAGCGTATTGATGAGCTGGAGCGGCGGCTGGATGAGCTAAGCGCCGAGAACCGCAGCCTGTGGGAACACCAGCAGCTGCTGCAAGCCCAGCCTCCGCCCGGGCTCGTTCCTCCGTCCCCAGCCCCGCTGCCCGCTATCCCAGTCACCGCCGCCACCGCCACTGCTGTCGCCCAGGAACCGCTCCAGAACCACGGACAGCTCCCGCCCACCTCGCCACAGACTGTACCGGAGCAGCCACCGATTCAGCACCACGGACAGTTCCTGGTGCATCCCTCACCGGGCCACAGCGGCAGGGCGCACGCACCCCAGTCGCCCCACCAGCAGACAGGGGCGCCAGGGGCCGTCGCCAACAAGGAGAAGGAGCGTCCCCCGAGTTGTTGCGCTGCCGCTGGAACCCTCCTTCAGCACAAATCCCCCGCTGCCCTCAGCAAGGGCGTCCTGAGCAGGAGACCTGAGTGAGTGGGGAAGAGGGTTTGCGGACAGTTGAGGTGGGAGAAAGGGAAGCAAATGGGTATGAGGAAGAGCCAAGGGGGAAATGGGCGCACTTAAGAATCTGAAGGACTAAGGTAACGTGAAGTGAAGGGGCGAGAAGATGCCTGAGGGTAGAAGTGTGTCAAGGAGATTTGGGGAAAAGGAGGAAATGATATCAGTGTTTGAGAGGGTTTGGGGGTTGTTGGAGAAAAGGGGAATATCCAAACCATCATTGGGGGCAAAGAAGAAAGAAATTTGGTTTAAGTGATTGGGGATGTTGAAAACTAGCAGTTCTTAACGGGGACAAGATTGAGAGAAAGTTGGGGTGGAGATTAAACTGAAGAAAAGAGAACAGTTGGAGAATGTATTTAAGTTAGAAAAATCTTAGAAGAGAGTTTGAGTGGTAAAATTATTTCAATAATAGTAAGATATGAAAAAGATGGAGGCTTGGCAAACAGGCATGTTAAGGGCATTAAAAAGGCTAGGGTCCAGGAAGAGTAGACTTGGGTCTGAGGGAATTCAGGAGGCAGAGGATAAAGCAGGAATGATGTAAAAAGTCGGGGGGGGGGAGCTGTAGATAGAAGATGAGCTGGCTCTTTAATTGATGCAGTGGGAATCAAAGCCAGGAGTGGCTCATTTGGGGAATCTTACGCTGCTCTGACCTGAGTGACTGCCTTTCTTATGAATCCCCACAGAACTAAAGGGGTGCAAGGTAACAACCCACCAAGCTAATGGAGGACTGAGTTATAGTATGAGGACTCAGTCTGGTTATAGCTTTCCCTCTGACTCAAAGAGGATTTCTGTGCAGGGTGGTTGGCAGTCGTACAAAGGGAACAATGATGAGAGAGACAGTTGCCAAACGGAGTTGGTATTTCAGTGTAATTCCTGTTTAAATCTCTCTGTTAGGTCTAGTGACTGCCAACCTTCTTTCCCTTTGGATTTTTGGTGATAACTGAAATCTCATGTTGAGTTGTGAGAGAAATAGTAACCCCCCACGAGGGACTCTAGGACCTTGAGCTCTTTCTTCACACACAATATCCATAAACTAGGAATATGGAAAGAAGAGATGAAAGGGGACTGGAATATTCTCCCCTGAGTATTGAGAAAGCTGTGATCATGTCAGTTTCCTTTCTCTGATTAGAGGTGATGGGATAGCTGCATGGAAGAACAGCTCTGGGGAAATCAGCACCTGGTCAGCACCTGATCCTGACAATGATGACGCTAACGGAATTGATTAGGGGAAAGAGGGAAAAGAGCCAAGAATCTCATCTTCATCCAGTCTTGGTGTGCTTTAGATCTGGGGATACTTGTGAAGATTTTTATATATTTCTTAAAAACCCATGTTCTCCTCACATCTACTGTAGGTTAGAGAAGTTGTGTCAGGACATGTTAGCTCACAGGGTAGATTTGACCAAAACCATGAGACTTAAGGGGGAAAGGTCTAGGCCAGTGATGGCGAACCTTTTGAGCTCGGCGTGTCAGCATTTTGAAAAACCCTAACTTAACTCTGGTGCCGTGTCACATATAGAAATTTTTTGATATTTGCAACCATAGTAAAACAAAGACTTATATTTTTGATATTTATTTTATATATTTAAATGCCATTTAACAAAAAAAAAATCAACCAAAAAAATGAGTTCGCGTGTCACCTCTGACACGCGTGTCATAGGTTCGCCATCACTGGTCTAGGACCATCTGAGTTGGCTGACCTAAAGCATTGATTTGAGCCCCCAAGAAGATGGTTTTCTTAGCTCCCTCAGTGGTCCAATTGCCCACCCTTCGGTTTCATTGTTTTCTTTCCTTATCTAGCGTAAAAAGCAGAAAGTCAGTTTTCCCTCATGCTCATAGCTAGTTAAAAGGCCCATGATACTATGTGGCTTTCTCACCAAATAGGGAGATAAAAACGATTTCATTCCCTTTTCCTGAGGGCAGCCATGGCTTCATAAAAATGATGGTTCTTCACCTGATTCCTTTCCTCTTGTTCTTTATTGTCTCTTTCTCTTCCACTGCACCCCACATTGTTTGCATCCCTTCAGGATACTATGTGGGCCAGAGAGGTTGAGAAAAGATCCTTTTTCTTGAATAATAACTTTGCTGTGGCCCCCAAAGTGGCTTAGAGAGCCCCAACTCTCCTGCCCAGGTGCTCTTGCTGGGAATTCAGGGGTTTGGGAATCATCTGGATTCCATCCAGCCTCATATGGCAAAACTGGAGAGGAAACATCGTTTTTCCTTCTCCCTTGTCCTGCTTCTGCTTCCCAGGAAAGCAGAACAAAAATAAGAAATAATTAGAGTGGTGGAAGAGAGTAGAGATTGTTGGAAATCTCTCACGTAGGAAGTTGTGCCAGGCACTAAAAGGTTGATATCACTGGTAGCTCCTTCATTTATCCAGATCCTCCAGCTTTTTCTCCTGCTCCCCAAGTCTGAACACCAAGAGACTTAGAGAGCTTGGGTATGGACATGCACGGCTCACCTCCTTCCCAAGGCACTCTCTCTTCCATAGATGTGAAATGTTGGCTTGCCGGATGCCTTTGGACCACTCATTTCTCCCCACTGTTTTGCTTCAACCCAAATTTCCCCCACAGGACTTCAGGAAGGGATTATCTTTGTTGACTAGATCTTTGGCCTCAGCCTGCTCTCTACCCATGACACCCTCCTTGTATGTCCGTCCTCCTCTCCATACCTCTCAATGGTGCAGAGCTAGATGCAGCCAGCAGGCAGGGAGATATCTCCATGGATAGAGTTAGGGGAGGAGAAGAGCAGAGCCAGCAGCTCTCTCCCCAATATTTCTCCTAGGGAACTCCCTGCTGAATCAGTTCTCTACTGGGGGTGCTGAAGTAGAGGAAGAGATGACAGAGGGAGGGTGTCTTTGGATTGTAATTTTGCTGAACTCTTTTCTAATTTCATACTTTCCCTTCCCTGGCCTCATTATAGTGAAAATGAGGCCCTGGTGAGGTTGCTGAAGGGTAGGGGAGGGTTATGAGGGGCCAAGCACTGTGTTAGATGCGTTATCTCATCATACAGTTGTCTCTTATCCACAGAACTCCTCTTCCTGCCCAAATCCAGGAGAAGCAGGAGCCCTAGGGAACCTGGGACTGGGAAATAATGGATTGTTTAATTGTCATCAGATCTGCATTAATATGCAGCTTGGCCTCGCTCCCTCTTTCAGCTGAGGGAGATAAAATAATGGTGGCCTTGGAAATTAGGCCAAGGAAGTGATATTATGGAGATAAGTGATTGCAGAGACATCATGGAAGAAGAGACTTGAGGGGTTAAAATTCTTTCTTTGCATGTTTCCTGGCTCTTGCTACGCTTCAGCCCCCACTGCTTTTGCCTCTTAATGAAAGCAGCAATCTTAGCTTCCTCCTCTTTATTTTTTCAATCAAGGCTCACTACATCTACAGAATTGATTATGCTCTTCCTGGCTGAAACCAGAGCCTCAGCCTGACCTGGCAAAGTCTCCTCCTTGCCATGGAAGCATAGGGCCCTGCTTGAAGCTACTGGCTTCAGTATGACCACAGTTTCTCTGTTTGAGCACAGGTTTGCCCAGCCATCCAGCTATGCATTTAGAGCACCTGGACCCCAGGGCTTGCCAACATACCCAAGCCCATGGGCAGAGGATTTTTGGAGGCTAGGTAAGATCCTTGCATTATAATTCAAATTTAGCTCCTACCCCAAACTCCCCACCTGCAAGTGGCCATGAAGTCTGAATGGCTCAGTAGCGCCTGTCCTCTTTTCTCTTCCTTCCTCCTTAGTCTTTTTTCTATACACTTCTTCCTCACTATCCGCCCTTTCTCTCTTTTTTTCTTCTTTCTTCCCCCTTTCTTCCTGCCCCTCACACACTTTCTCTCTCCCATATTTTTTTCTTTCTATATTTTGCTTCTACTTAAGCTGCATAGGGAAGTCTCCCCCTCTCCACTCCCATCCTCTCAGCATAAAATAAATATTGGGTCATCTTTTGAGTTCTTATACCGACTGGAGGCTGGAGGCTGGTTAGAAGATCATTGGAAGTGCTTTTTACCCTGTTATCTAAGGTGCTGGTTGGAGTAGGTGTCTCTGTTTGGAGGTGCAACTCATGACCAACCCATCCTGAGAGCTATTAAAAGAGTATGAAGGTCTGTCAGTCAGTCAACTCTGTTTTATCAATTGTCCAGTTAATTCAAAACCCTGCATTCTGTGCTGTGGAAAGAGGAAATAAGCAAACAGTTGTGGTTCAACATGCAGGAGACACATATCTGGAAACCTCCAAACAAGTGTAAGCAGATTGCAGCTGCCTAGAGCTACCCTCTATCAGAACAGAATGGTGAAAGGGGTGAGCATACAAATCACATTCAGAGTCCAGAGAGAAGGTTTTATTGGTTGGACTCAAGGGTTTGTGTTAGGAACGGTAAGAGTCAAAGCTAGCTGGATGGAGGACAGGGCCCAGAAGATTCAGTGCATGGAATCACTACCGCATCTGCATATATCCTGTCTTCTGATGACATAGTTCCCCACTACCCTAATCCCCTCCCTCCAGGCAAAACCCTATCCACAGGGTAAGGAAAGCCCTGGGACTCGGGATCCTTGTCTATCGCATGACAGAAGGCCTGGTTGCTGAGGCCAATGCTCACCAACCTGCCTATCCCCCTTCTCTTCCTCTGTCTGCTGCAAGGAGAGGACTTGTAGCTGGTAAGCTGGAAAATGGGGCCAGCATGAAGGCTCACTGAGAGGAGGGAGTGTGTGGCTTTTTGCTCACTGGAAGCTGACATGGAGTGGGCACTTGTAAAGATTTTCTGTCCCCCTCCTTTCCAATGGCCCAGACTGCTACGCTTCCTTCCCATTCAGCCAAAAAGAACACAATTCAAGAGAAACAAGTCTCCCTGCCTTCTGGGAAATGCTGATGGCCTTTCTCCTCCTCACCAGCCCCCTTTGCCTTGCTCTACCCCTGCTCTTTCCTTCCTTACTCCTGAGCCCTTCCCAGACCCACATAGTCAACACCATAGGGCTT